AATGTACAAGCCAGAAGAACTTATCTTGAAAAGCTGACACGAGATTGGTAGAGCAGTAGCAGTAGTAGTTGGGCTGCGTTTCGGCGACCAGTCTTCTTCAGAGCCCAGACGTTATGGTATTAGACTATTTGAATGATTCGGAGGATTTCTTTGTATAGAGCCTAGGTCAGGTCGAAAGTATAAACGAAGAAAGGGCGAAAGGTCTTGTGTGATGGTGAAGCATTCGCTCTTCCGGTTCATTTTAGAGTTTTGGAATAGATCCAATGTGCCTCAGGAGTTTTTCGCATTAATGTTTTTGATACCTGCGCTAGGATAGTGACAGCCACATGAACATCATTATTCCTGTGTTTTTGACCTTATGTAAACCTAGAAGTTCACTTTAATCGATTTTAGATTTGCTGTTTAGATATTCGTTTATGCGGATGAAAAGTGGTTTACTCGTTTTGCCTATAAATTCTTTCCAGCATGTCTTATATGTTACCGAATAAATGTGGCCGATTTCATACAGTCCCTCTCCTTTCCGTCAAGACAGATTATACAGTTCTTTGTGTTTCACAATCGATCGTATGCGGATCAGCTCATGGCTCAGGTTGGGAGATGGAAGTTTGATAGCTACCACAGAATGTTCAATGTCACATTCTTTAAAGCGCCTCTTAATCGTGTTACTAATTTTGTTTGATTATATCGACACTTTGGCATTTTGAAGGGGATCTAGGTCAGGTGTGCAGTACTGTTGTTTCGGAGCCTAGTTTTGTCTATTCAGTGTACGCTAGTGACTGAGTTTGTAGTGATTGGAAATGCTGTTTCTCGCGCCAAGTTTAGCTATTGGTTCAGTGGTTTATGTAGGTTGCTCCCAAGTATCAATCCGCACAACTGGAAAACTACTTCGCAGGCATTGCAGCACATGCTGCAGAAGAGTTCAATGTTTGTAAAGGGAAAGGAAGCTAAGACTAAACTTTTATATCAGACGTTGTCGCTTTGCGAAAAAATCTTTCCTGCTAAATAAGCGAGAGTAAGTGGTGTTTAGACCGAGATTTCTAACACAAGCCATATCAAAAACACCCAAGCCATATTAGGACTCAGTCAGCCAGACAAAGAATCACATGGGAGACGTTGCTGTAGTCTCTCAGTTCGCAACAATGGGTCATGAGCGTGCCGAACTTTCCACCTGATTTACATCTAGCAGTACTTACATTAAGAATAAGTAAAAGCAGTGAATAGAATCATTTCATCCGCTGCAGAGAGAGAAGGAGTATAATCCAGCAAAAAACACTCCTTTGAAACAGTGTGGAACTCGGTAATATACTATACAGTAATTCCTGTAAATTGTCAGTGCCGGCGAACGAATAGGCAGCTGGCAAAGTCCTTTCGAGTTAAATTCATGGACACTATCAATAATTTCGCATATATCCTATGGAGCATGTACGAGCTTCTTGAAGGATGATTCATTGATCAGAAGTACAATAAATACGACTGTATGGCTAACGTTTCGGCAGTCTTGTCTTCTTTAGAGCTGAAAGAGTTATATTAAAATGCACATACTACGCTAGACACTTTCAGCCAAAACGTAGGGGTAAAGAAGAGGACATTGAATGAACTTTCAAAACGTAAAGTAATTACTTCATTTGACTCACATATTTTTGTTGTTTTGTTGTCCACTGAATGTGTAGACCAAACGCACTGAATTTTAGTTGGGCGAGGTGGGTTCCTGGCTCACATGCATGAGAAAATCGATCCAAGGTATGGCGCGAAATCATGCATGATTAGGAGACACGCATTTTTACTCTTCATGGTCGGATTTTTGGCATGAATTCGGAACCCTTCAAGGACTTTGCGTGCCGAGATCTTAAGTCCTCGCGGCAAGATATTTCCTTCTACTTCAGAGTCTTTCGCCTTTGTGTCTGTGTACTGTGCGTGCCTAGTGGGATATCTGGTTTAAAATTACGTTTGTCAGCTAGACGATCTTTATGCAGACACAGAGTGGCCTACCCATTTCGCCAATGTACTCGCCACTGCACACTGCAAGAGATTGAGTAACTGTACTCATGCAATCACCATCTTTATTTTTAGGGCAAATTATGCACTTTTTTATCGTACATAGACGATCGTGCCAGCGATTGTGAACTAACTGATACTTAAGAGTATTCGGCAGTTTCAATCGTCGCAAGCGATTCATATAAGCCTGTGCTTTTCAAACACTTCTATTAGCTATACTTATTTCGTTTGTAAAGAAGAGTAGCACAAACGCAACCACATTTTCATTTGGAACACGTGATTTCCTCTGAACTTATCTTGTAAAGCTACATCTTTAAAAATGGCTATTCTTCGAGCCATTCTCACGGATCTCACGTTATGCTATCTTCCGGTGCATACACAAAAGCTGTGCGGGACATGTTTCTTATAAACACTCTTTTTGTGTGGAACAGGTGAGATGCGAGCCAATAAAGCAGGTTTATTTTTGTTTCTTGGCTTTGGGCACCACTTATTGATGTAGCCGCTTTAGGATAGTTTTACTTGGTCGTTAAGAAAGGAAAGCTATTTCTCATTAGGTATCTCATGGGTCTTCACGTACCCTAACTGCTCGATCAACGAACCAGAACTATTGTCCATCTCTTCTTGTATAGAGCAAATAACAAATATAATTCATCTACAGTAGAGTGAAGTCCGGAAACTGATTATTGGGGTTTCCACTTTATACATGAAGGCATTAGCAAGAACCGGTGCTAATCGCTAACCCATTGCCAATCCCCTCTTTGAGCATAATATTCCTGGATTATCTAAAAACGCAGCAGTTAAGGCACTCATTAAGAAGAGCCCTCAGCTGTTATATAGACTAGCCGTACATGTTCAATGCTCTCTGGCGTAGTATGTCTGAAGTGGAAGCTACAGTAATTAGTCTCCGGCCTTTACTATAATGTAGACACACTGATGAATGCTTTATTATCTGTTCCACACAAGAAGAAATGGACAGACGTAGTTGTTAAACGAGCACTCAGAGTACATAAGATTCACTTGTAATTCATTCAATAAAAATTGGCTTCTCTTTCTCAACGTCCAAGTGAAACTATTCACAAGCGGCTGAGGTTTCATCACTAAGTGGTACCGACCTTTCATCTCACACTACAAACACTCATAAAGTGCTTATAAGAAACATGTTCCTCCCAGCTGGCTGTGTATGTACTGGAAGAAAGCAGAAAGTGGATTCCGTAAATTGGCTCGGCAGTTAGCCATTTCCAGTGGCTATAAAATGCTGCCCAGCGGGATGATAGAGGAGATCGCGTGTTCTCAAACGAGAACTTTGCTGAAAATAAGGTCTGGCTACTCTTCTTTTCAGACGATACAAATATAACTATTAGAAAAAGGACAGAACTGGATAATTTGATTGCGCTGATTGCAATACCGCCAAATAATCTTAAGCGTCGGCTAAAGCGCAATCTATGTACAACAAGAAAGTGCATAATTTGCTATAACGTCAAAGGCAGTGATTGCATAAGTTAGTATACGGTTTACTCATTGCAAAGCTTGCGACGGCGAGCACATTAGCAAAACGAGACGAGTAGGGCCCCTCTACGTTCGTATAAAAAAGCACTTAGCCAACAAAGGTAAATCTAAACCTAGTGTCCCACTGTACACGCAGAGGACGCAGGAGGAGGAAAATTCTGATGTAGAAGTAAATATCCTCACATGGAAAATAAGACCACGACGCACAAAGTCTTTGAAGCGCTTCGAATCCATACCAGGAAACCGATTATGAATCGTGAGGATGAGTGCCCTCTAATCACGCGTGATTTCGCGCCATAACTTGGAATTTTTGTGAATCTGAGACAGGCACACACCTCGCCCCATATAAGATTTAGTGCGGCTGGTATACATATCTAGTGGACAACAAACCAACAAACCGATGAGCCAATGAAGCTGATTGCACTGCGATTTGCAATTTGGTTCAAAGTCCTTTCTTCTCGATGTTTGGTTATGAAGGTGTTTGACTAAGTAATTGCACTTTGATATGATTTTTCCAGACTCTGAAGAAGGCAGGACTACCGAAACGTCAAACCAAACTATCGTATTTATTGTACTGTCTAAGCTGTGGTCAAGAAATCGTCTTTCAACAAACTCGCGTTATCTGAACAGAAAATATACGGAATTATCCAATTAATACCAAGGACAATCGATAAACGGTCTTGGGAATTAATATTTTCGTCAAATGACCGGAAAAGGTACTTTGTGAGGAAAGAAATGCGAATCTTCCAACGTTTGCACTGTCCAATTGGAAGAGCGGAAGTTACGAAGCGGTTTGTGTTCAAACAAAGCGGACCAATACGGAAATTAGATTTCCCCAAATCACCTTATCGCTGAAAACATAAAACCATAATGACGGTGTGAGTAATTCTCTTGCTTGTCTTTCAACGTAAGATTTCTTAAACTCCACATGGAGCAGAAGTAAAGCATAGCTTCCAGCTCAAAGAAGGTTGAATATAATTTAGAAGAAAAAAAATTGCGCTTACATATAAGAAAACTGTTAATGTGACAATTGATTTCGCTTTTATTGTGAATTGCGATTCAAAATGGATTTCTCAGAACTAACGACAATCAGCGCATGTGGCGCAGTGTCAAGAGGTGCTCTGTTTCGCACGCATGGTCGATGGTTTCAGCTTCTCCTCGTGGCAAACCAGGCCATCCGTCCATCCGGGGTGGTGAAATGGTACCAGACCTGTCTGAGAGGATAAGCAGCACTGATCCGATACAACGTTGGTCGCCGCGAAATTCAATCACCTCTAACGAAGCTCAATCTTGAGACGAATGCATTAACGCCGTGAGCTCTATTCATTTCATCATCCTTGAACCACGCTCTGCTCATAGGTTATGGAGGAAAAATACTCCTCGAAGCAAATTTTGATTTGAATAAAGTCATGGACTGCTTGATAGTCGACAAACGGGCTAATTCACTGTAACTTCCAGGAAATATTACGTTGGTTGTAGAAAGAGTGGTGACAAAACAAACGTCGGTAGTACAATGGTTACAGCACACGCACTTGGATAGGGTGAAATGCGGGTTCGAGTCTCGCTTGACGCAAAAGTTTTGCACATCACCCAACAGGGCTATACTTGTAACATCATGCCATCGCTATAAAAGGTCAACTAAATAATTTTTGTCTTCAACAGAAATAGACCATCGGAAATTAGCATTGAATAAAACGAGACGGATTCTGAATTTAAATCATAGAACCGTCCAACTTAATCATCAACGACAATGAAAACTAGTAGCTCAGAGTTCATATGGGGGAATTATGTGCCTGTGTCGCTCCGAAAAAACACGCTAAAGCCTGGAGCGAGATCACACATGATTGCAAAGTGTCTTTTGACAGGTTTATCCGAAACGACTTTTGATAAAGTTGTGATTGCACTTAGACGACTACATTGCGTCTTAAATTGGCCTTCTCAGGTTTCAACAAAAAAGAAATCTTTCGGAACGATTGAAAGATTGATGTGCTAATGCATATCTTCGCGGTGGATTTTCCAATGTTTAAACACACCTCAAAGAGGATAAAGCTTTCCTGCAAATGTTCCTGTTAAATGGAGAATAGAACGCTGTACTGTTGAAGGTGTTCACAAATGATTCTCGAGTGCAGAAATGCTGTCAAAACAAAGCGTGGCTGTATACGCGCATAATCGGGACGATGTTGCTCTTTTCGTCCGTCAACAAAAACCGCCGAAGTCACATGTGCTTTCTTTCGAGGAGAATTTACATGGTTCGCATATGGACACGTTACTGTGAAGATATACAAGAAATTGTGTTGGTCCATAAATCAATATGTTCCTTAAGCCATCAACTTGTCGCACTGAGAGTAAAGTCAATGATCTTCTTGAAACAAAAAACACAAAAAGATTTGAGGGAATATTGTTATGGTAGTTATGAGGAAACAGGGCATTGTAAAAATTACAGATGTGCTGGGAAATATGCAAGGAAACCAGTATCTGATCTAGCTGACATTTGACACTTCAGTGCTTCCTGGGAATGCTGTAAGTTATGTAAATTATATAGAAATATACATAGTATCGTCAAAAACTTGGAACCTGGTTGACCATTTTTTTTGTATACATCACCTGTGTCATCTGTCGCCCCTTCAATCAGCGAGTGACTCGAGCGAGCACCTGCATTACTCCCATTTTTCCCGATTGGCTAGGAAGACCTATTCGAATGTCGTCGATCGTGAAGGTGCCGAAATAAAAAGCCTGTGTGTATTCCACGCACAGAAAGGGCATCACAAGCGTATTGCATAAGAAGGTTTTATTTGATTGTTCTAATTTTTGTCCAGCGCGCTGAAGCGAGAGTAGAAGGAAGTAGTCATGTTGACGACTCAGCTTTGCGAAAAACAAAGCGAATCATGATCTGATAACATATCGTGAGCCTTTCATGAGGCCTGGTATGGCACTTGTACACTGCAATACACGTGTATCGGCCTTGCAACCTCGTCAGTTGCATGTACTAAGACGCTATAAAAAGAAAACTTGCACATTGGATTTTGGCAACACCTATATCCCCATTTTTCTCCTGAAAACCGATGAGATTCTCATATTGAAACACCCAAGTGAGGTGCTTTGTTGCGTCAGCATTCTCTTAAAAGAATAATTCACAAACTGCTCAGGTAGCAGTGGGCCTCATTTTACGTTTTATGAAGCGGTTTCATGTGTTAGCATCCCTTTTGTGCAAAAAAATCAATCGTAGCGCCAAAAACGCAGAAGTTCACTTAATTTTTCATTGTTAAATTCCTGAACTGACGATATTTTGATGATTAAAATAATAAAGACCAGTAGAGATTTCTTATATTAACATTTGAATAACTGAGGACTTTGACTAAAGCAGCAAATCAAGTATTTTTCATCCTATTTGATCTTTATCGCTCCAACATCGTCTAAAACATCTCGTTTTGAGCTTTTGAGAAACGATCAAGTTATATAATTAACAGCGTATCAATGATTAAGCGGCTACTCTTCAGTCAAAAATATTTCCATCTCGATATCAGTTTGCTGCTTATTTTATGGCGCTTCATTGTCACATGGCTAAATTAATTTGTTGACGTAAAACAGAACAAAGCGGACGAATGCGGAAGTACTATTCTCGGTCATCCCATCAGGTGACCATCTAGCTTTGTGAAAATAAAGTAGAATAACGGCAAAAATGGAGAATGTCCATCGATACTAGCATAGTTATAATCACAACACTGATACTGAAGCTGTAAAAGCAGAGGATCTTTGTACATTGGATATTGACAACATCTGTATCCCAATTTTGTCTCAAATCGACAGGTTCTTTACTGCAAGGCACCCAAATGTGGTTCTTTGTCAAGTCGGCAGTTTCTTGGAGAAAAAAAATTATAAACTTATCTAGAGAGCAATGCATCTCTTTTCCACGTTTTGCGAGACAGATCAATGTGTGAGGAGTCTGTTTTTGTGCAATAAGAACCGACCGTAACATTGAAAAGGGAAAAAGTGCACTAACTTTTCTACTTTCAAACTTCTCAGTTGTCGGAATGGCACTTATCACATTAACAGAGATTAGTAGAAGTGCTTTGTTTTGACATCGGGATGATTTAGCTGAGGATAGTCACAAAATCAGAACACCAAATATTTTTGTGTTCTAAATCGAATCTTTATAGTACCGTCATCAACCAAAACATCTCATTCCAGAACTTTTGCGAAACAATCCGGTATCATAATTAACAACTTGATATTGAAGAGTGCAGCTCTTCTTCAAACAACGTTTCCATCGACGTCAATATTCCACTGAATTTGCTGCACTTTGATTGATCCATAACAAAGAAAATTATTGACGTAACGCAAAACAAAGCCGACAAAATCGGAAATGAGATGTTCGCTCACCCCATCAAGTGAGAACACGAAATCCATCACCCTATAGAAAAATACGGTTTTCGTTTGTATAAAAGTGCTCGGTTTGAGAAGAAAATCGTTCCACAGCAATGAAGGTTTTGATTGCTCTTCTTTTTGTTGCAGTGAGTTCAAACTTTTTTCTTACAGTCGCAGTATTGTGCATTCAATCCGATGCTCACGGTCAACGATATTGACTGTGTTCAGACTCTAATAAAACAAATCATCTAATAATCTAGTCAATAAGAAATTTTATGAGCAGTATTGAACATCTCACGAATAGTCCTCTTATTTGAAGCTTGCGCGAGGTCAATAAAGCTTTGAGTTAGTGAAATCGGTGACTTCGCCTTTGCCAAAGTTGTTCTGCTGTGTTATGGACCTTTATACATTTAGAACTCCTATGCGTAATAAAACAGTGCTAAAGAAAACAAAGTCGCCGGAACGACCATCAATTTAAAGATCTACCAACGTGGCGCGCACTTAAAATGAGCTGGCCTTGCGATGCTTTTCGTTCTCATTTTACATACCGAGGTTTACTGGAAGTCGGTGTTCCGATTATAACAGTAAAAGTTTCTTACGATTTCCAGATCTTTGTCGCCTTCTCTAAAGTTTTTATTCAATCAAAGAATGGTTTTGTTTACTAGTAGTCCCTGAAAAAGGTCCCGTTTCAACTTTTCTCCGGCAAAGCACCTATTTTGTACCTAAGCATTTGTTTTTCGGTAAGAATAGCAAATTGTCTGGTGCTTTTAGTTCTCTTTACCACTATAGTATAAGCTCGTTATTGATTACCGAAAAATATAAGGGATGACGGTACCAATCTCGCGTAGTCCACGTATCTCTATTACTTCGGCCACGGCCTCCCTATGCCTCTCACTTGTGAAAATCTTGTGCTTACAAAACCTCGAATGTCTTTCTATCATATGAAAGCTGCCGTTCAGCTACTTATACGAGAGTGGTCATCGATATGTAGTTACACACTATGGATAACATCAGCCTGATTCGAGCCAGAAAGTCAATGTAAGATAATCACCACATCATATGTGGTAATCAAATACGTTCCCTACTCATTCCTGGACTTACGAATATTTCCAAAAGGCCCTAAGAGTTTTGCGCGTTGGGGTTTCGACTCAATCCCTATTTTTTACCATCTCAAAGTAGTCACTGTGGTGCATCTCTCCGTGGTGTGTGCCTAAAAGAGTACTCACCAAATTTTTCCACCCTTTCATTTCGTTCTTTCGTAGGGATATTAGTTATATACTGATTCTACTATCTATCCAGAATTACACTAATAAGAAGATATCAGCTGAGATCTACCTAAACTCATGCAGTCTCCGTCTGCAATCTACAGTCATAGGGTATAGTAAGGTAGGGCGTTCTTGATGCTGAAGCATAAATGAACAACGGAAAGCTCATCAACTTACAAATTACCTTGAGCTCAGAATTTGTTCAACTTTAACAGTTCAATTTCGTACTCTAGTTAGGCATCACTAATGACATGAATCAATACTGCTCTGGAGCAGATATAATCGCAAGGCGGTTAACGTTTGGAAGACTTGAAAAAGCGCTAGTGACGGAGACGGAGAAGAAGGGAGCCTGGTGCGCTAATAAAATACTAGTGAAAGAAAAATGTGCTGAGGTTCTATATTTCGTAATGATTTCTGATCTGCGAAATTTTGCATTCTTATATTTACCCGTCAAAGACGATTTTTAGGCTGAAATTCCACATACTGCTGCTTCCGATAAGTGCGTCAGGAGATTCCCTGGTGGCCATCTCGGCATCGGTAAGCACATTGCTGTTTAATAGGCTGATTAGAAAGTGTAACGTTGTTTAGGCCAGAGCATCAACCTGTATGCAGCCCCAACTCCAAAGAGTCTGGAATTTCGCCTAGACATATTCGGAGAGGAGGGTGATGACATTCTGTTCCACTTCAACCCTCGTTTTTATGAGGCACAGGTGAGTTCTTGAATGAAGACAGAGAAGTTTTACTTTCCCCTCAAAAAATATAAGTTACCAGCCACTAATAAGCAGATTTGTTATGGCAGAATTCTAGACTGTGCTTAATTCGCGCCGAAATGGAAAGTGGGATCAGCAGATAGGTGTATATTCATTCCCATACTACAGGGGTCGAGGTTTCAAGCTATCCATCAGGAATGATCGCGACGCGTTACGGGTCAGTCATCTTGATG